ATGATGAAAACAAAATTGTCAATTTGTTTACAACATCTTTTTTTTCCCAAAATTTGTTATCAGCAAAATCTACTAATAAATATTAAATTAAAATTTATAATATAAGCAGAAAACAAAATAATATGAGGTATGTTGTTATTAAAGTACTGGTACATATTCTATACTTACATTGTTCACAGTTATTTCCAGTGTAACACGATGGACAGATACATTGGAATGTTGTGCAGGAAAGCTTGAGACAAGTCCCACCAGACTGACAGGGTAAGCTCTGACACGGATCCAATTCTATTAAAACACACACACAAAAATGCAGAAGTTTAATATCTGACTGCTAATGTTACTGTCGCCGACAATAATCATCGCGCAGAGTCCTGTTCGATATGGGACTCATAGCAACGTACACAACACATTGTTTGTTTACATGAAATTCGAACAAGCAAGGACAACCATCACTCTTTAATATTTATTTTTAACTGCCACAAATTTTGAACACAAAAAGTTGTTAGCTTTTACAAAACACAGCCAGATAATTATATTTTTTATTTATTCAAAAATCAAGAACTGAAATTATGTTCAAAATTATAGAAAAAAATATGAAAATGTGCAAAACGTTGTGGAGGGAAAAATTGTGGCTTGTTCTGCACTGTAAGGTAGAGATGTGATGAACCATCCCAAATCAACTCACCTGTTTCACAGTACTGTCCAGTATAGCACCCACTACATTCACAGCTATATGATGTACATGATCCAATTGTTTTAACGCACAGACCATTGTTCTGGCAGGGATTGACAGCACACTGGTCAATTTCTATAAAGACAAAATATAAACACAATCACTCGGTTAGGTTTCACTACACATCATCAATAGATCTCATATAATGAATGCAATTATGCGATGGTTATATGGTACTAACCTGTTTGACACAAAGATCCGGTATAACATCCGGGACACTGGCAAGTAAAATCTGAGCAGGATCCTGGCGATTTATAGCAAAATCCGCCATTTTGACATGGGTTAGGCGTACACTGATCAATGGCTAGAATGCAACACAAATAAGAGAAACATTAGAAACACACCAAACATTCGTACCAATAATAAGAAATTGTATATTAATTAAACACAATGGACATGACAAAAATATCAATCCAGAGGTTTAACGACATGTTGCATAAAACGTTTATTATGCATTCAATTTCGTTAATTGCAGAATTTATGTTTATTATGATCAAGATATAAAGAAAACAACAACAACCTGTACAACAAATAATTGTTGGTGTTATTTGGATCAAAAATAGTTAAACAACTTACAAATCATAATTTCTTACTTCCGAATTTTTATTTCTTTTTACTTACTTTTCGTTCCTAGTAAAGACTACATCTTAATAATGATGACACAGATAATAAAGCAGATATGCCCAAAATACTAAAAATGACACTCCCATTTTTTGTCCATATAGTAAATTGTTCAAGTTTTGGTGGTTTTTGTTGTGATAATGACTGAGAAATGGATATGTTGGTTGTTTCTACTTTACTCACCTATCTCACACAGAGTACCAGTGAAGCATCCTTGGCATGTACAAGTATAGTCTGTACATGAATTGACAGCCTTCTGGCAGATAGCGTTGTTCTGGCAGGGTATGGACACACATGGATTAATCGCTAAAGAGGAAAATCAAGAGAAACAAATGTTGAAAAATTAAAAGATTATAAGTCAGATGAATAATTCATGATTTGTATACAAAGATCATATGGTTATTTCATCAAAAGAGAGTTTATATGTGACTTACGTGTTTCACAGTTTGCACCTTGGAAGCAGCCAGTACATTGACAGGTGTATTCCTGGCAAGACGATTGCTGACAGACACCACCGTTCAGACATGGATTAGACCCTGACCCCGTCGCGCATGGATCTTGCACTACATAAATAAAGATAGAAACAGAGCATTAACTTGAGTACTGATCTTTGTACACAGTATATGTGATCAATAAATTAAACTTTATTATAAAATCACACTGATACTTTATGAATTAAAGATGCAGTACATCTTTTATTGGTGAATACAGATAAAAATAATTTTTTTAATACCTTTCCACATACCTATATCAGATTATTCTATTTCAGAGCTCTATCATTAATGTAACTTATGTAAAACTATGGACAAAATTGACAACTATTATTGTTTTGATGACCAAATTTAAATATTAGCGTTAATTTGAATAATAAATACACCAAACAAATAGAAATCAAATGCTGATAAAAAGTATTTTGATGCTTATCAATGTACTTCTTTTTACTAAACATAAAGATATCTGATTTCGGGACACACTTTAGGTTAATCTTTAGTTTGATTTGGTTGATAAATAAACTTGACTTACATCTTTCACAGTTGGTGCCAACAAAACATCCCTCACATATGCACATGTACCGGTCACACGATCCAGCCAACGGTTGGCATACACCATTGTTGTTACACGGATTTGGAGAACACTGATCAAGAACTGTTTGAAGACGAAAAATAACAGCATGTTAGTAGACGAACCAAGGTATTGGAACATAATTATGATATAAAAATGTACACTTAGGGTTCATAACAAGACATATATGCCAGTTACACAAAAATAAAACCAACATGGCTGCCAGTCGGCCATTTTCAACACTAATTTTGTGATTTAGTTTTTTCAATTTTTAACAATAGGCTGGAATGTGACAAGTGAAATTCAAATCAAGATTGACATTGCAGATGATAAATAGTCTACTATATTGTTCCACATTTGTCAATAATTTTATATACGTTTATGTCAGCTGACCACTACCTACCAATCACAGACAAGCGATATTTCATACTAACCTATCTCACAGCGAGTACCAGAAAAACAGCCACTGCAAAAACACTGGTAATCTGTACAAGATCCTTGTTGTTGAGCACAGAAGCCATTGTTCTCACATGGATTAGGTTGACATGGATTCAACACTAAGGAAAATGAGAAAAAAGTTGTTACGTTTGTAAGCTAGCATTGACTAAGACACAGATACCAGCACAGTGTGTCCAGTTCTACTCTTGTACTCAACTATCAGTATTTCAGAACAAATGCATGTAACGAGCAGAATAAATTTCTTTAGTTGCAATATCAATCAGTTAATCCATAAGTCCTACATTGTTTTCAACAATTTTTTCCTGGGCAACAGCTCCATATATAACGAAAGTCAATTGTCTCTCCTAACTGTTTTTATGTGCAAATTGTAAGTGTTGACATATCATCCTACATTGAATTTAAAGAAACACGGCCTCATTCACCAATATTAAAACTTGCCTGGAGATGCATATTATACTCTCTAGAAAAGTTTTCACTTGAGGTATACTTACAAATTTCACAATTAACTCCTGTGTAGCAGCCTTGACAATTACAGGTGAATTCTGTACATGAACCTGCCAGCTGTAGACACTGCCCACCATTCTGACATGGGAAACTATTGCACGGATTCAACACTGTAAATGATAAATAATTCACAGTTAATTATTAACATATTTATGCAAATTATACATGAATATGCAAATTATGTTCATGTATACAACGAATATAGAGTATGTAGATCACTTTTATGCAAATTACACATGCATATGCAAATTATGTTCATGTATGCAAAGAATAGTGTATGTAAATTACTTTTCTGCAAATTATACATGAATATGCAAATTATGTTCATGTATGCAAAGAATATGGAGTATGTAGATTACTTTTATGCAAATTACACATGCATATGCAAATTATGTTCATGTATGCAAAGAATAGTGTATGTAAATTACTTTTATGCAAATTATACATGAATATGCAACTACTAATTTATTTATGGCAATATACATGTATGTTTGCTAGAAAACATTAACATTTCACAATTTCTGTGAAAAAACCCAGACAGTCTGCTTGAATCAAAAGTTTAGTAGCAAGACTCATTAAATTGCAATCTGGAGATGATATTTTGTCTGAATTTTCTACTTACAAGTCTGACAATACTGTCCTGCGTAACAAGACTGGCATTGACATGTGAAGGATGTACAGGAGCCCGGTGTCTCTGAACAAGTACCTCCATTCTGACAAGGATTGACAGCACATGGATTTTGTCCTGGTAGAAAATAAATACATCAATATGTGTTTTATAGATGAAGAAGCCACAGCTCATCTCTCCGAACATTGTACATCAAGTCACAAAAAGATATCATGAATTATTCGTAATGATAAAATTCAAATCATATTTATGCTCAATCTATTAGAAGTACATGCATTATTATTCATGAGTCAAACAGGTATGAATGAATTATGTATGACATATGGCTTGACTAATGCATCCAAACTTTTTACTCTCGGATACCCCAAAAAAAAGTTATATACACAATCATTGAATTTTGTATATCGTAAATAAAAATACATATAACACATAAAAGTCACTTTTAACACTGATGAGTGAGCAAGGATATCAAGAATACAATATCAAAGAACGAGGCAGCCATAGTAATAATTATGCATCACTTAAGTGGTTAATCACATACTGGTTTCACAATTGGTTCCATAGTAACACTCCGGACACTGGCACTGGTAAACAGTACATGATCCTTGTACAGCTAGACACTGGCCACCATTCAGACAAGGCAAGTTCTGACAGGGATCCAAGACTGTTGACAAACAAGAATAATGCAATACAATTAGTAGGTATTCAGTAGGTAGTAGTGCAACAAACTGAAAGGACACTAGCTACCATATGATATTATAGGTCTTATACAACACAGTAAAATACATTATTTATTTACACTAAATTTTAAAGTGAGTGTAGCAGCAATAATTGTTGCCCATTTGAACTGGGTGTATTAATTAGACAAATTTTTTACGACTCAAAAAATAATTTATCAAATATTACTTATTTGACCATAGAAACACATCTGTAATTTACATAAGGGCATGCACTACTAATTATGGTACAAACATTTAGTATCAGTTTATCGATTACAGAAAACAGTTCAAATATTAAAGTTAGAATGACTGTTAATGGTACTTACATGTCTGGCATTGGTTTCCTGTAAAGCAACCACTACATGTGCATGTGTAGTCAACACATGAGCCAGCTACTGGTGAACAGAATCCGTTGTTCTGACATGGATTATTACTGCATGGATTCAACACTGTAATAAACAACCATGTAATAATAAATGTACTGGTACTAGTTGTAGCAAAAAGCAAACAAATGAATATGCAAATTACAAAATAAATATGCAAATGAAAAATGAATATGCAAATTACAAAATGAATATGCAAATTACAAAATGAATTTGCAAATAAATATGCAAATTGAAAATGAACATGCAAATAAAAATGAACGTGTAATGAATATACAAATTGCAAATGAATATGCAATTTACAAAATTAATTTGCAAATTAGTATGCAAATTGCAAATGAATATGCAAATTACAAAATGAATATGCAACTACCGGTACAAATGAATATGCAAACTACAAAATAAATATCAAAATTACAATGTCAATACACATTTAAATAAACATAAAATGTAAAAATATTTAAAATGTACTCACAGGTAGCACAGTTAATACCAGTGTAGCAATTCTGACAAATACATGAATATTCATTGCAGGAATTCTGTGATCTTATGCAAGTACCACCAAATTGGCAAGGAAAGTTCTGACATGGATCAATGGCTGCAAGGAAATTGACAAATACATAAGTTTACACAGTATAGTACAAATTTTATACTTTACATATTTCCACTTTGTATTATATGCAGACTACCACTCACTAATTATTGTGATCACTGTGAAAAATGATAAAATCAGTTGCTATGGCAACATGTTATTCTGAAATATTGGAGCCTTGAAGCCAGCTAGCACTGAATGTCATGACAACTAATCACCAAATCTAACATAATTGTCATTGTTGTAATCACTCATGGCCATTTGCATGTATTTCAGGATTCTATTGGATAAGATTTCTCATAAACTATACAAAATCTGAAACCCGAGTTAAAGAGGTCAGTGAGAGGTTTTCTAGAGATCATACAAAGTGAACACAAAACAGATCGAAAATACTGGCATGTGAATTCATAGTTTGTAAATCTGTAACACAAGTAAGTGAAAAATAAATTACTCCTTTGAAATACAAACTAAATTAGCTTACGTGTTTCACAAGTTCTACCGGTAAAACAGCCAACACAAGTACATGAGTACTGCGTGCAGGAGCCAGCAATACCTTGGCAGACTCCACCATTCTGACATGGGTTGTTCTGGCATGGATCAAGTACTGTGAAATAAAACAACACAATGGGAAATTTAGTTAGGTATTCAACATTATCGATATTGCATTTTTGAGAACTTAATATACCAGTACTCACATGTCTGGCAGGTAGGTCCAGTGTAACAATTTGGACACTGACACTGGTAGAATGAGCACTGATCTCCAGGAGTCATACAAGTACCACCGTTCAAACATGGCGAACTGGTACAAGGATCAATCCCTGAAATAAAATTATAATTTTACACTGGTCACTGGTAGTATAGTGGTTGTCATATCAGGCTCATGATTGGTAGACCCGAATTCAAATCTTAACATAGGCTGAACATCAAAAAGGGTCAACCCCTACCCTTGGTGAGTGAGCCACAATGATAAGGCCAATTCTACTGGCTGAGATTCATTCATTAACAAATGCAACTATGGGGGAACCTTAGTTAAGGTCTGCAGGTGCTTGTGTTCGACAGAGCCTGGTTGACGCCAGGATAGCGCATTAAAATTGCCATTTCATAGAGAGATGGCCACACAGCCCTGTCATGTAGTCCCAAATATAAATATGACTTCTGTGGCATGAATGCACTATGTGTCAACGCTAGCACTTGCAAATTTTACACTGATTTGTAATGTTATATAAAAATTACTCAAGTAATTGTGAACTCAAATTATTGCTAACACATAAAGATCCCTTATACATGTACCCGGTATCTCACTTTTCATTAACATTATACAATAAGACAAAGTAACACAAGTAAGGGAAGTGTCAATAACTTTTCAGGGGCTAAGCACATTATTTCCCTGCAGACATTCCCTTGATGATTTAAACTGTTTTCATAATGTTATTCTTGGCAAAATTCCATATCACAATGTACTTACGACTTTCACAGTTTGTTCCGGTGTAACAGAATGGACAGGAACATTGATATGAGGTACAAGTCTGGTCCTGTATACAAAAACCCTGATTCTGACATGGGTTGGGTGTACATGGGGCCAATACTGCAAAAGAAAACGGGATACAACTTGAACATTTACCCGGTACTGTATAAACAGGTATATTTAAAAGTACTGTAAAATGGTTAATTATTCACTAGGTTTTAATTTTGCATATTTAGCTGACTGTAAAACGTGCTAAATTAAAACCCAGTGAATATGTAAAATTGAGCATAGAACACACTATCTAAATGGTAAAACCGTGAATTTAAAAACTCACTGAATATGCCTGAAATGGTAAATCAGTGAAATTTAAACCCAGTGAAAATTTGTAATTTGACAGTACTGTACAGATTTAATTTATAAAACTTAATTTTATTCAGTACTTACATGTCTGACACAATTGCCCAGTGAAGCATTGCAAGCACTCGCAAGTGAACTCGGAACAAGAACCCGCTGTTTGAACACACTGTCCACCACTCTGGCATGGATTGGGCCGACATGGATTCAACACTAGAGAGAAAATAAAAAGGAAATCACATTGTAAGTTTTGGTATTTCCCCTATAACACTGCATTCAGGTTAGGTATCACTGACTTCAGACTATTGAACAAATGAACTGGGTAACACTCAGAATAAATCAACTGAATATACCAGTAGGCTCTATCTATTTGAATAACATACTGATTTGCTAAGACAATTTTGTTTTGTGTTCCACTACAAGCTTAATCACCTGAAAGAAATGTGCCACATTTATCATATATCCTTCAGTTCTTTTAATGTGCTCAGATTTCAATGTTTCACACTGTTTGAAATTATCCCGCTGGACAGCTTTTAAACCACCTGTCATAAGTCACTAATAAACTTATAACTCAAATGATATTTTTGATATAAAAAGCCAATGTCCTCAACTTTTAGAGTAATATTCTTCTGTGTAAATTTTACATGTGTTAATCGGATGTAAAAGTGTTACCGTTTTGTACCTATGCATACTGTGCAAATGTATTTTGCATAGTCTTCCATCAACAGATTTTATATTTCCAATATATTTGCAATATCTCCAAGATGTCTCTTAGACTATCCAAATATTTAATCACTAGCATGTTATGTACACTTGGTTATGTTGAATGTTGCAAATCAGTTTATAAACCTTGTACATCGCTTTGTGTCAGATCGTTAGTCTTCAAAACTTAATTATAAGAGCAATCACCAAGCTTGAAATTTACATCCAGAATAAGAATTCCCTGGATGCATCTTTTGTAAATTAATTTTAGAATGAGTTTAAGTAATTTACATGTATTTAGTTATGAACAAATGTGATTAATTTTTTGGAGTCACCTTTTGATCTGGAATAAATTATTATACATACAATTTAATGAAACGGTTATGATATTTGTATATCAGATTATCCACTATTGTCATTCACTTACATTGTTCACAGAATGTTCCAGTATAGCATCCTGGACACTGACAGCTATAGTCTGTACATGATCCTGGCGTCTGGCTACACAAGCCACCATTCAAACATGGGTTGGGCTGACACTGATTGAGTACTACAAAGAATTACATTAATCAAGTTAGAGAACAATTACATAGAGCGGAAAATTCCACACCTCGTTCAAGCAACAACATCCCGTTCAAACAGCATACAATATATACCCACACTACAACACGCACACAGTTAACATTATTGGTGTTAGCAGTGCCTCACGCCAAGTTTTTGAAATCAAAAACTATATTGTAATTTAGCCTAATTTTACACGAACATCAATACATGATAGAATTCTATGTTTATGTATGCTTTCAAATTACACTTAAACATTTATTGTAAAAAGGTGAAGATTTGGAACACAAAAAGGAGTGGGTTTCACTTTTTTCACAAGTACTGATATATTTTTTTTTCACTCCACAGTTCTGCAGCAAAAATAGAAAAGACATCAACAGCAGAGATAAGTTAATATCACAGGAATTAATAGTATCTTGTAAATATGTTGATATAACTAACTTAGATATTTTTTTACTCTTACAGAATAATAATGTATTAATGAGGGTCAGTGACAATAATATACATCTACAATTTTGTGTAACTCGTCTTGTGAAATTTCACCAACTAGTCAGCTCAATATCATGAAGAAAAATAGCCTCTCCATACTTTTGTTATCATTGTCCTGGGGCATAGCATTACATGTACCGGGTATATGGGGATTATAGAAGAGTCAAGAGAACGAGTTCTCCTTCTTTATCTTTAATTTAAAAGGTTGTGTTTTGTGTAAATCTGATTTGAGGAGTTGATAGAGGAATATAACATACATGTTTCACACTGTGAACCAGTGTAACATCCAGGACACAGACAGGAATATGTTGTACATGACGTCGACTGACAGGTACCACCATTCTGGCATGGGTTAGATGGCTGGCATGGATTCAATACTGAATAACAAAAATATGTAAATACACGTTATAATTATAGTTGAAATGAATAATTAACTTACTGCTAAGGGTAAATGTTCCAGACTCTGGATAGGTATCAACAGCGCCCTTACACATGTACATGAAAAGCAGCCGTATACTTACAAGTTTGACAGTTGGTGTCTGTGTAACATCCGGGACAAGTACACTGGTAATCAGAACAGGAGTTCTGTATTGGCTGACAGAATCCATTGTTCAGACATGGGTTCGGTTGACACTGGTTGAGTACTGAAACAACGCACAAACAAATATACAGCCATTAGGAAATGCATTTGAAGTTTTTTACTATTATTATTTAAATCATTTGAAATAAAAGTACCAAAATAATAAAATTTCATATTTCAATATTACCGATACATCAATACATTTTAGAATTTTCACATTCACATACATTGCTGAAAATGAACAAAGTACTGTAACCAACTTACATGTTTCACATCGCTGTCCAGTATAGCAGCCGCTACACGAGCAAGAAAAATCTGTACAAGACAGAGGATTACACTGACCACCATTGAGGCACTGATTAGGCTGGCAGGGATCCAATACTGTGTGGAAAAAGAAAAACTTACAGATATCATATGACTAACACAATTCCAGTCCTATATAGAATAGGACAATGTAATCTATGATTGGTGAATATACGAGTACAGCTTTAGTTTAAGTGAGATGACGTAAATACTCACATGTACCACAGGTCTGTCCAGTGTAACATCCTGGACACTGACAGCTATAGATGGTACAGGAGCCTTGCTGTGGAATACAGGTACCGGCATTCAGACATGGATTGGGTGCACACTGGTCAAGTCCTGTAGGAAAGAAAAAGATAATCAAATTTGCTTACTAAACCACTAAACTGTTGATACCAAGATATTCCATTCCATTCCATTCCATTCCATTCCATTCTATTCTATTCTATTCCATTCTATTCTATTCTATTCTATTTAATTCTATTCTATTTAATTCTATTCTATTCTATTCTATTCTATTCTATTCTATTCTATTCTATGTGTGACACAGACTAATTTTGCCCAAAGACAACAAGCTTTTACTCCATACTTCATTGCATTCCATACATAACTACATTGATTACTCACGAATATCACAATTTTGTCCAGTGTAGCATTGCTGGCAATAACAAGAATAATCCGTGCAGGAGCCTTGTGTTGGAATACAAAAACCACTATTCTGACATGGATTGGTGGGTTGGCATGGATTGATGACTGAAAAAAAACAAAAAAAAACAGAAGTGCAGTCATAGAAACCCTGAATTATGTAAAAGTGTCACTGAAAAACGTAATGTACATGTAAAGGTGGTACGTTATACGGTTACTCTTTTTATAGGAAGGTAAATCATGTGAACAATAAAATACCGGTAAATATTTGAATCAATGAAGCACTGACTTACATTCTTGGCAGTAGGATCCGGTATAACATCCACTACAAGTACATATAACCTCAGTACATGAACCAGGTACACCTTGACATTGGCCACCATTCTGACATTGATTTGGTTGACAAGGATCAATCACTGAAACGAACAAACACAGACACGATTAATAATGAGTTCCATAAAGTCAAGACATTAGGAAAAAGACTATGTGGGTGTTGTGGCTCAGTCAACATAGACTACAAATGAAGATAATGTTTATTTTGTAAAGTTGTTCTTGAAAATCTTTCTTGAAGCTTTATTAGGCTCTTGTGACTACTGTACTACCAGTAGGCGAAATACTTGGTGAATTTCATAATTCACATTATTATGGCAAATATGTTCTAAATGTGCAATGTTTTTCAGCATGCACATGTATGCATTGCAACAACTTCCACATGTTTTTTTATCCACATTGAAAACTCTTCTGAATAATGTTCCAATCGTGTGAGTTCAAATCACAATCATGCTGTTACAAATTTCAATATCCCTAAACCCAAGCTACAGAAATGATTTCAAAAATGCAACTTTGACCTCAACTTTGACCTCAACTTTGACCTCAACTTTGACCTCAACTTTGACCTCAACTTTGAATGCAATCATAAAAAATACATTGACTTACAGCTACCACAGTTGACTCCGGTATAACATCCTGCACACTGACACTGATAGGCAATACAGGAACCCTGCATAGACTGACAGGTTCCACCATTCTCACATGGATTAGGCAAGCACTGATTCACACCTGAACAAGTATTTAAAAACATAAACATCATTAATATTGACAACAGCAGCATGCAGAGATTGTATAATGAATGGCATGTAGTTGTTACAAAATGTTTAACAGCAATTAACTTAGTAAAGTTTTCCATGACTGAGGTAAAAAGAATAATACTTAATTGACACACTAATTGCGTCTGATTCTTGACTTTCATTTTTAGCAACCAAATTTGCTTAAAAATTTATATTCTTCTCATTTTATGTCAAATCTCCTTAAATATTGATCAAGTGAGAGCTCGTCAGGATCTGAAATTGGATGTCACCTACTGGAATCATGTATACTTACTCGTTTCACAGAATGTACCAGTAAAACAGAATGGACAGGAACATGTGTAATCAACACAGGAACCTTGTGTTGCAATACAGAAACCTCCATTCTGACAAGGATTCGGTTGACACTGGTTGATTCCTTTAGGATGGAAATCACATAAAGCAAAAAATGAATAGTAAACAAAATAAGGTAACCAGAGATAAAAACAAGTTATTGCTGTGCTAATCATACCAGGTGAAATATTTAAATCTTTGTTGTCCCCGCTTAATAGCAAGCCACACACTTTGACAGCTACTCTGGGTTTCACTCTTGTCTAAGTCATTATATTAAGCCCATCTTATTTATAAGATTTAAAAAAACACTCATTTTTGAAAAACAACATAGTGACACTAGATTGCAACAATTCTAATATACACTATTAGCAATAATACCAACCTCATTTATAAAAAAAAATGTATGTTTATAAACAACTTTTTCAAATATAAAAAAATATTTTTAATAATGAGAACAACAGTGGTTCACTGACCAATTTTTAAACATAAAAACATGTGCGATAGAATGTTTTCTCATGTGAAATGTTTCCAAGTCCACCGCAAAGGGTTCAACTACATAGAAACTGTAACGACCATACTCAAGTATATTTGAGGCATAGGTTATACAGTTTCTTGATAACACCAATATTTATATCGTTATGCTCAGAGATTCATGTGATTCATATGAACAGAGAATAAATCCCCTAAAAATAAAATATCTCTGTGAAACAATTTCTTTGAATTCAATATATTCTAGAGAAGATTGTGTGCAAATGGTATGCAAATAATTATGCAAATTAGCACTGTACAGTGACTTACTTGCTTCACAGAATGTTCCGGTGTAGCAATCTTGGCATTGACATGTAAATTCGGTACATGATCCAAACTGTTGTGAACACGTTGCACCATTCAGACACTGATTTGGTTGACAGGCATTGATTGCTACAATGATAAATAAATAATTCATAAAAAAATCCATGTTTGTAATGTTGGTGGTGGTGCCCTAAGTAATTTAGTGTTTTACTTCAAAGCAATATGTAGGAAAATTATAAAAAAAATTGTTGATGGCAAATATAAATATTACTATGGTACATGGTACAAAAGATATCAATTCCCAACAATTAAAGTCATCATAAACATACCAGATAAACAGGTTGCTCCAGTGAAGCACTGGGGACAGATACAGTTGTATGCGGTACATGTTCCTGGTAGCGCCTGACAAGTACCACCGTTGGCACATGGGAAAGAGGCACATTGATCAATTCCTAGAAAAGACGATGAAACAAATTCATTAGATAACCTGAGTGAGTGAATATGTGATCTCGTCAAAATAAAAGAAACACTGTAATAAAAAATATAGTCAGTATACCGGTAGTACAGTGACTGGAATGAAAATCGTGACGCAATATGGAAATACAGAGAGCTACTCACGGTTCTCACAGGATGGTCCTTCATAACACTGGCTACATGTACAGCTGTACTCTGTACAGGAACCAGCCAATGGCACACAGTATCCATTGTTCTGACAGGGGTTAGGCTGACAGATGTTAATGACTGCATTAGAAAAGCAAAAAAATGATTAAGCGCATAGAAATAAACTTTATGATAAAGTGTCAACAAAATGAAGAGTTCCATTTCTTCCAAACAGGAACTAATAAAGTCAATAACTAATCATACTAATTTTTAATCAATTAATTACAGAAACAAATTCACAAATGCTTTACAAGTTGTGATAAATTTGATAAGAATCGGAGCTGCTCTTGCTTATTCAAAGCCCGCTAAGTTAGCATTTTGTACAATGTACCTGTGAGTATCTATGGCAACTATAGTGTGTGTTTCTTAGGTAATAAATCTAAAAGCAATAAACTGATAAACTGCATGAATTTGAATCAGGAATTTGCAAGATTCAGTTTCAGGATTGCATAATGTCAAAGATAATAAAATACAGTGACTCTGGTTGAAATATTATGAAATTACATTATCTACACCATATTGTTTCAAATTTAAGCGATAACAAGCGTCAACTCACTAAGATGAATGTTTAAATGTATATTCTTAGAACAACCATGCCAGCTTTTGCTGACCAAAATAATAAACACAGGACAGAGTTTGTTTTTGTATTGGTGTGATGTTCATTCATACATGTCCACTATGATCCCCATTTCTCTAGTAACATTGGGAGAGTACTGTTTGATAATCATGTTACTAATTATCGAAACAATATTGCCCTAATCAAATGTCTAAATATTATTATAAATAAAATTCTTTCAAACTTTCATAATAAATATTAATGTTTGGTGTATATTCGTGATGCACACATGTTACCATTTATTACTGAATAAATAAAATAAAAGAAAAGAGCTTACATTGTTCACAAGCGTCGCCGGTATAGCACTGAGTACACGCGCACAAATAATCTGTACAGGAGTTAGCTAGCTGGAAGCAGCTACCACCGTTCAGACATCGGTTTGGTGTGCAAGGATCCAGTACTGCAAACAGAAATATACACATTGTCATTCGTCAGTAATAAATAAACACAATATTGAGACATGTGAGCTTCATTTGCCACCATATCACCGTTGAGTCAAATCATTTATAAAAGACATGATTTGATCTGCTGAAAAACCCTGTCAATAAACAAGCTGCTTTCTAATTGGCTTAACTGATAGGTGTTAGGGTTATGTAGCCAATCAAACACAGTGACTCAACTCCTATATCATGCACACACAGCTTGGTTTCAAGTGTTAATAACATGGCAAATATATCATATAAAGCAACCTACATAGAACTTTACTACACACTGCATGGTCTGAAGAAATAGTACTGGTACCAAGAAATTCACAGCGAAACTTGAGAAATTTAAACAAATTCTTTCTACTTGTGAATACTCCATGCTTATAGCGCAAAAAAAAAAAGAATTTTTCCAATACGTTTTTAATTTCAAATCTTAGAATATAGGATTTAATACTCACAAGTGGAACAAGTCTGACCAGTGTAGCAGCCACTACAGACACATGTGAACATTGTACATGAACCCTGTACTTGTTGACAGGTGCCACCATTCATACATGGGTTATTATCACATGCGTTTAATACTAGGAAATAAAAAACAAGAGTACATGGGTACTGATGATATGTAGACATTGATGAGATCTACCGGACATATAGAGAGTTTCTCATGAAATTATAGCAGTATACAGACACAAATGTCAAAGGTGGTCAAAGTAGAGAGATGTAGTTAAGAAGACCTACATCTACCGGTACTAATTAATTTTTAATGATAAGGCTCATCGATAATTGGGATTATTAACCATATGCTTTGCTTTTTTTTTCAATACAGCCTAATTTGGCAATAATGTGATGAATTTTTGTAGATACTTACGTTGTGAACATGTGGGGCCAGTATAGCAATTCAAACAGAAACAAGTGAAATCGGTGCAGGAGCCTGGTGTCTGCTGACAGAAACCACCATTCTGACATGGATTGGCAGAGCAGGGATTGATGACTGAAGAAAGAAAAAAAAAGTACAAGAAATATCAGTAGATAATAATATGTTCATACTAAAATTAGTCTTCAAGATATGTATTGCAAGCTAATCGTTGATGCTAATTTTCGATCAAAGACGATTGCTAAATTATATACTTACATTGGGAGCACAACGTTCCTGTGTAGCATGTTGGGCATGTACAAGTGAAGTCGGTACATGAGCCAGGAACTGCAATGCAAGTACCTCCATTCTGACACTGATTGAAGGAACACGGATTCAACACTGAAAACAACAACAGTATGTTATTATTGAAAGTAGATGAGATTCACACTCATGGCAACATTATTCATCTTAAATTTTTTTTTTGACCAGCTAAACAGTCACAGACCAAAAATTCCATTGGATTTTGAGACACTGCATGTGACTATACAGACTTTGATGTGGTAAATTGGAATCACTTTCACAGTTTCACATTGATTTTGTTAAAAATATGAATTTTAATTTGATGGACATTACTTACATTGGGAGCAATCAAACCCTGTATAGCAGCCTGGGCACTGACAAGAGAATGCAGTGCATGAGCCAGGTGTTGGTATACACACACCATTGTTGTTACAAGGGTTTGGAGAACACTGGTCAAGTCCTATGGAAGATACAATTGTCACTGTCAGTACACTCTCAACAAATCTATACAAAAATTCCCTGAGCTTTTGAGAACATAAGAAAATTGTTAACGACGATGACAACAATGACAGACTGTTATCCCACCTTCGTCATCATTGCAGGAAAGGTAATAAAGACTTTCTCAGCAATTGACAAATCCTATTATTTCTTTTTGCGAAAATCAAGAAAGATGGACACACGATAACAACCCTACTGGACTTACTTGTGGAACACAACGTTCCAGTGTAGCATTGTTGACAGCTACATGTGTAGTCTGTACATGACCCTGGTGTTTGTATACAGTACCCATTGTTCTGACATGGATTCGGCTGACATGGGTTGATAGCTACAGTGGAAGAAAATAAATTGTCAATGCATGAGAGACATATATGATGAGAAATCTTTAGTTTAAAGTTAGTTGAAAAATATAAATATTTTACTGTGTGAATGGTTAAATCAACAAATAAATAATATTAAAATTGTGCACCCACTATTGTTTACAAAGAAACAATGATTTAAGTACTGTGGAATACTTTATTTTCGCTGGAATTAATTTTCACTGAAAAGGCTTTTTGGGGGTTTTGTATGGAATTTATTTTCACTGATTTTTGATGAGTTTAATGGGAAATATAGGGAAAAAAAGTATATTCACTGGATTTTATTTTCACGGAATCATCCCTTCAGCGAAAATAGCGAAAATAAATTCCAAGCGAAAATAAAGTATTCTACAGTATGTAAATTTCCCATAACACTAAGCCATATTTTGGCATCCAAGGTGGTCACAATACTTCCAATAGATTTATAATTTAAAAAACTAATTCGGCTACCCAAAGTTGTTTCTATAGATTTCACTATCAAGCCAATTTAAGAGAATAATTTTGATAAATTACAGGATATTCCTTTGTGAAAAGCTTGTTAGCCACATACATCATTTCAATATGTTAATAAAATATTAAGATTGTGTGAGTAATTGATAGAATGAGATAAACCTTAGTAAGTCATGCATAAAACGAGACTGTTTGTAAAATGTACTCACGTATGGCACATCTGTCACCAGTGAAGCAGCCCGTACACTGGCAGCTGTATTCCTGGCAGCTAACACCGTTGCAAACACCATTATTTAAACATGGATTTCCGGAACATGGATTTTGTACTGAATAAAAAACATGATAAATAATTGTGGATAAAAAGTGATGGGGGATAACATCTTTGAATAAAATAAAAAAAAAAGGGGGGGGGGCACCATAACCAATCAGCAGGCCAGTTTCACCCTCTCTGGTGGCAGTGTGAAGAAATTATTAGTGTATACCATGGGAGTGAATACATAGCTCAGAGCTGAACAATGCTTTAAATTTATATTCCAGCATAGAGGGCAGTATAACAGCTGAGTGGTATATACAATATACAAAGGGGGGGGGGGCACCATAACCAATCAACAGGCCAGTTTCACCCCCTCTGGTGGCAGTGTGAAGAGATTATTAGTGTATACCATGGGAGTGAATACATAGCTCAGAGCTGAACAATGCTTTAAATTTATATTCCAGCATAGAGGGCAGTATAACAGCTGAGTGGTATATACAATATACAAAGGAGGGGGGGCACCATAACCAATCAACAGGCCAGTTTCACCCCCTCTGGTGGCAGTGTAAAGATATTATTAGTGTATACCATGGGAGTGAATACATAGCTCAGAGCTGAACAATGCTTTAAATTTATATTTCAGCATAGAGGGCAGTATAACAGCTGAGTGGTATATACAATATTTAAATTTAAAAACAATTAACAACACAATGGATGGAAATATTCATACTTACAAATCTCACAATTCGGACCAATAAAACAACCTTCACAAATACACTGGAATTCAGTACATGAACCGGCTAGAGGACTACATACACCGTTATTTTGACAGGGATTCGGAGAACACTGATCAAGAACTGGAAAAAAACACAAACCAAAGTCAAAAACAGGGGTGTGCCAAGGTCGGCAATAAATCAGTCTTAAACTTGAATTATAATGATATGTATGACGACATTATTCAAAAAGCATATTGGTTAACAACACAGAATGAATACAGAAAGAAATATTTACTGTCACCTACATGTGGGTACCATAGATTCAAACATGGATAAAGCAATTATTGATACTTACGTGTTTGACAGTTTGTCCCAGTGTAACATCCAGGACATGTACAAGTGTGCTGGGTGCAGGATCCAGGCACTGCTTGGCAGGTCCCACCATTCTGACATGGGAAGTTGTCACAAGGATTTAAAACTACAATAAAATAACGCGTGATTTGATATCAGTTTAACACAAATATTTAAAAAAATATATATATGATTTTAGGTTGTGACAAATTTGCATGAAAAAACCTAAAAAATGAAACAAGATCATTTTTTATTTTTGTGCACATTAATGCATTGGGTTTATTGAAATTTAAATTTGTCTGGATCAAGAAGGTGGTTGTCCAGAAACAAGCCTAGTACAAGAGTATAAGGCGGCTGTTAACTTTCAACCTAGTACTATTTCGTCAATCTTATTTCACACAATAGAGGCAGGGTTTGACTCCATCAGCTAGTGTGTGCAGCAAAATAAGCTATTCACACTCTATTCATTTTTTTTAATATGAAATAAAAAAAGATGTTTTATTTTAAGAAATAAACAAGAAATAAAAACAAAAACGAATTTGCGTGTGTGATTCCATATCATTAAAAAACTCAAATTACAGCCAAAACTAATGTAAAATACAGTGAAATTTCAAAATATGGTTAGTTAACTCACAGACATCACAGAGAGTTCCTGTGTAACAACCGTAGCACACACAGTTATAGTCTACACATCCCTGAGATGAGGGCTGACAAAATCCGTTATTCAGACATGGATTTGGTCGACACTGGTTGATACCTGATAAAATATAATATAATAATATATGAAGAACAATCAATGTAATAACCCTGATGCATGGCATGATGGTTAACAACACCATAATTTTTTTCCAATTTCCATAAGTTGCCCAACTGGCTTATATAATATGCAGTGCTTTTTCTCTTTTTGTGAGAAAAGTATTAATGTTTCTGTCGAGCATTAGGAATATGTAAGATCTATCCCCACATTTCTATTGCAAATTCAGTCCCTTGCTCAGCTAACATCATCTTTAGAATGGTGACCAGTCTGAGATTGAAGTTTGTGAAATATGTACAATATAAAAAAATATAAAGTTCCACCAAAAAGGCAATCATACACTTACGCTGTTCACAGAATGTTCCAGTATAGCATGGATCACAAATACAGATGAATTCTGTACAAGTCCCATCTTTCTGCATGCATGTACCACCGTTGAGACACCGATTCGGCTGACATGGATCTAACACTGCAATAGATTATATAATTTATAGAAATATTGTTATTCCATTTACTATTTCTTACATAGAGATATATACTAATAACATTAGTGGAATCCTTCATTTTATAAATGGATATTTAAATATAAATGCAAAATTCCAGTCAGTTTTGTGTTGTTGAGTACTTTGGAAACTACAGTAATCATTGTCCAATCTACCTTTTTTTCTCATTTATTACCAGTACATAATATCGTAATTAATTATTAATTAATAAATATTTATTTACCTTTTTTAAAAAAGTCAGAAAAAGGTATAATAGTATTTATTTATTTATTTATTTATTTATTTATTTATTTATTTATTTATTTATTTATTTATTTATTTATTTATTTATTTATTTATTTATTTATTTATTTATTTATTCATTCATTCATTTATTTATTCTTTCATTTATTTATTCACCTTTTTTAAAAAAATAGGAAGTTAGAAATGGGTTGCATAATACATGTAGTAACGTACAAGGTTTAAAAAATGGTCAGTAATATTCTTGAAGCCTTGAAGAAATTGACTAAATTATTAACCTTATAAACCAGTCAAGTGCTGGAATAAATAAGTGGAAGGTGATTTATAACATAGATATAAAAGTTTTAAACTTACATATATCACAAGTGACACCAGTGTAACAATTCAAACACTGACATGTAAATGATGAACATGAACCAGAGATAGCATCACATATGCCTCCATTTGAACATGGATTTGGCACGCATTGATTAATTGCTGTAAAAAAACAAACAAACAGGGAGTGAGTAATATGAAGTTATTATGAGGATACTTTTATGAGGATATGCAAGAAGACAGTACAGTGGGAGTATCGACCGACGTGCAGCATAGGTCGATGTGACAGTGTACCGGTACTGTCTGAGTGCTTACTTTGTAATATCCTCGCAATAACCTTATTACCGGTATTATACATCTTTTCCTTCCAAGGATACATCATGGGAATGCCGAAATCCAAAAAGTTTAGAACAGATTTAGCGAACTTCTTTGTGTGGAGCCTGTGCCGAACCCTTGGGCTGCCGTGTATGTTTTTAGTATTAGCGGACACTCACACACGATACGGCACGCTGTAACTTATGGCGTTACAGTGACAGATAATATAATAATTCAGTATAATAATACTCTTTTCTCCTAGATATAGGTCAGTTTGCTCACAATAACAATTACAAAATACATTAGGATGTAGCAGGCTAGGATTAGACAATACTGATAATTGATATGATCAGCATACTAGCTTACCAACATCACAGAAAGTTCCAGTATAACATCCTTGACAATAACATGTGACTTCTGTACAAGAACCCTGCTGTTGCACACAGAATGCACTGTTCTGGCATGGGTTTGGCTGACATGGATTGAGAACTGCAAATATCAAAAGCAATCAGATATCAGATTAAGTTTATTGTGATGGTTCATTACCCAGATTCCGTATAAATCCAAATAGTAATCTCGACCATCATGCAATTTTTTATCCATCACCCGATTTTCTCTCCATCAATAGATTTCCATTCAAGCACCCATTTGTCTTCAATGTCCAACAAGAATAGTTCTTAAATATTTAAAAATACATTAAGGCTCAATTTGACTTGTAGAAAACTATACCAAACACACCTCAATGACGAAGCTAAAAATTTCGCCTGCCGAAAAAAAGCAGAACATTTTTTCAAGAACAATTGAGGATCAGTATTTGTGCATACTTACGTATTTCACAACGATCTCCAGTGTAACACCCTGAACACTGACATACATAGTCTGTACAAGAACCTTGAATTTGATTACACTGTCCACCATTCAAACATGGGTTGATTAGACAAGGATTTTGATCTGAAAATAACAATAACAACAACTTATTGTTATAATTGTGATAGGTGGTGCCTGATTGGCAGGATGGTTCGATGTTTGCATCACATGCCATAGCAACAAGGATTAAAGATACAGTAAATTCTGTTTTAGTGACCACCTCTATATAAAGACCACTTGCTTACAGCGATTACTTTTTTGGTAGTCCCATGGCAAAACATATGAGCAACCTGCGTATAAATCCCACCTGTCTGTCGCTATACACAGGTTTGACTGTATAAAAATTACACAACTCATCTGACAGTTCAGAGTTACCGTAGTTAATATTATGTGTCTGCATAAGAAGTGAAAATCAGGCATGAACTTTGACCTTCTGAATGCCAGAATTATTTTCACCACAATTTGGATGTGATATGCTATGATACAATTTCTTTTTGAAACAAATAAACATAATTTCCAATTACCTAAAGTTCTTGATGATCAACAATTTGAGGAAAATTAATAAAAAAAAAAATATTTTTTGAAACAAGCTATACTTACATGTTTCACACTGAGGACCAGTATAACATGAAGGACACAGACAAGTGAACAGAGAACAGGAACCAGTCACAGGAATACATGTCCCACTATTCTGACAAGGATTTGGCTGACACTGGTTAAGCACTGTAGAGTAGAATAAAAAAAAAATATAATATAATTCAACCATCAGCAAACAATTTTGCTTCTAGAGCAAAAACAATAAATCTATTTTTCTGTTACACCAAAAAAAAAAAAAAAAATATGTCACTCGTCAATTTGTTTCTAAAACTGACGTGCACAGTTATATTTTTCCCTTTTTTGCTGAAATTGTCATTAAAATTTGTGATTTATCTTGAACAGAATATTTCTTAAATTTTTTCCAAAACTCAAGAAAAAATGAATGAACATTTTTTTTTACCTGTTTTTTTTTAAATTTAACGGAACAGATCTTGAAAAAATTCATAATATCAAAAAAAAAAAAATGGCCACAAAATTAAAAATAGAATGTTTCATATGGTCTATAGTGAAATTTTTGACTTTAGCCTTGGCAGATGGAAAAGTATTCAATCTTAAAACAGATGTCAATACCATTGGTAGTAAAACAAAATTTAACAGAAAAGCTGTAGCTTGCAATTAATAATTTTTGAAATACTTTCAAAACATTGCATGCCAAGCACTGTACTCATGATCAGCTTACATGGTAGTCAACGTTTTATGTTAAGTAACCTACATGTCTCGCACGAAAATCCAGTGTAGCATCCTGGACAGGTACACCGGAAGGATGAACAAGAACCTTGAACAGCGGTGCAAGTACCACCATTAGAACAGGGGTTTGGAGAGCACTGATCCATTACTGTGGAGAGAAAAACATGAAAACAAAATTTACGTAATACAAGATTATTTCGGAGATACCCCAAAATATACACAAAGGCAGTACAGTGATCGTATCAAACAACGAATTCTAACACATAGTGAGAGATGGCACAGCATACAGTAACAAAGTCTGTGCCTACCCACCACTTGCATTCAGATTCTAATTTCATCACATGCTACATTGTTGCAATATTCGCTGTAAACAAACAAAAGTTTTCATACGATGAAGATGGTCATAACAGCAGATTCAACACATCCAGGTTTTTACGATTAGTTGGTTGAATTCTATAGTTTTGCCACCACTAGATTTATAATAATGGCATTTAAATGAACGCAAGAACCTTTTGTAAATTTTTAACTGCTTTTTAGCCTCAGCTTCAAATATGGTCAACAAGTGTGACAGTACATACTAATTTGCATATTATTTGCATAATTATTCCAAACCAAAATCGCGATACTCATTAAAACACACAAATACTCACTTACAAAACTTCATTTGCATCAAGAGTAATACAAGTATTCAGTTTGCAGCAACTTATTAATTTGGTTTAAAAAGTTAGCAATGGTACAGTGGAAATAAATCTGTCAGGATGACTGTGGTAGTGTCAAACCAGAGCACAAAGCACTGTGGTGGTACTGCTACATTGTTTATAATCTCGAGAGAATGCATATATGAATAACTTAAAATAAAGTTGTGTACTTACGAGTTTCACAGCTTGTTCCTGTGTAGCAATTCAGACAGATACAGGAATAGAAAACACAAGACCCTTGTTCAGGTGCCAAAACCCACCATTCAGGCATGGATTTGGCAAGCACTGATTGATAGCTATAAACAAACAAAAGAAAATATTGTAATATGACGTACATAATACAATTGAAAACTGAATATTATATAGCATCAACAATATTTCTTTTTAATGTTATTGTTTCGACTGACCTTGTTGACACTGTGTTCCAGTGAAGCACTGAGGACAGGTGCATGTGAACTCTGTGCAGGAGCCAGCAACTTGTTGACATTGACCGCCATTGAAGCAGGTACCGGGAGACATACATGGATTCATCACTACAGAAGAATATAAGAACTTAATAATTGAAATTTACCCACCACCATGAATCATATACTTATAATAAAGATAATGCAATACAACTATTTGACAGATCCGTGTACTTACATGATTCACACGTTGGCCCAGTGTAACAACCAGGACAGGAACATGTATACGACACACAGGAGCCTGGATTTGGCTGACAAGTACCACCATTCCGACATGGATTATTCGCGCACTGGTTAATTCCTATCAAAGATACAGTTCACAAGTTGAAAAACAATTGGCACAAGTCTGTTCTCTGCATAGCACAAAATGGCAACTCCAAACATCATCGTTGTCAATTGCTTTGAAGTATTTCAATAATGAAATCATTGCAATGTGTGTGTTAAAAATAATTAACATTTGCTGCTGTGTTCATAGAATTTAAAAGTCCCATACGCAAATAAATTTTCAGTTAGTCAGACAGAAATACAGACACTAGTTTAGCAAAGGCAATGTTCATATACTCACGTGTTTCACAGTTGACCCCAGTGTAACACTGTTGGCAAGAACATGTATACTGAACACAGGAACCCTGTATTGATTGACAGAAACCATTGTTTTGGCATGGATTTGGAGAACAGGGACTGATGACTGATAAAACAAAATAAATAAGACAAACATTAGAACATTTTTGAAAACAACATGAGTGCAGTATTTGCAAGATGTTTCCTGTAATATACACAGAAAAGAATTTTCACTGCATATGTCAATTTCCTCACAAAGTATATTATATTATATTATCATTCAGCCAATGTGAACAATGTCCATACAATGTAGTCACTACAACTTCAACTTGGAAGCATAAAACAAAACAGGTGTATATGTTCTTATACTCACATGATTCACAGAAATCTCCAGTGTAGCATCCAGAACATGTACATGAGTATTCTACACATGAACCAGGTTGCGCCTGACACTGTCCATTATTCAGACAACGATTAGGCTGGCAAGGATCAATAGCTACAAAAAAAATGACAGTCATGGGTTAGGCATTATTCTATGCTTTCATTTACTCCTAGATAGACAACGGTACAACGAGGACACAAACTCTGAAGTCTTTGATTGCCAGTCAAGAATGATAACATCTTAATTGTAATGCTTCCTCTATATTTAAATAAAGTTGATTTACATAATGCCCCAAATAGATGATTTCTATATCATAGAACCAGAAGCATTTAGTTTTTAAAAATAAATTTAACTTAACACATTAATTTAATTTAATTTCAAGTATTATTTTCGAAAGATGGAAAGTCATCAACACTGCTTGGTGATGCAAAAAAAGATATTTTTCATTGACTTAAATTAGTAAAGAATCTGAAATTATTAATTCAGACAACTTACGAGTTTCACAATTGAAGCCAGTATAGCAGCTAGGACACTGGCATGTGAAGGCTGAACAGGAATTCTGTGTTTGTAGACAGGTACCGCCATTATAACAGGGATTTGGAAGACACTGGTTAATTGCTAGAAAGGAGAAGAAAAATAGAAACTGATAAGAAAATCAAAGCCAGATAAGAGTGGAATCTTTTTTATAATCAAGTGAAATTACAAAATAGTGGTTCGATTGTGAAAATGATGGTATAATCACATTCAAGTTCGGGTCAATGCAAATGCATGCATTTTGTTAGCGTTACAATCCAGACAAATAACAATTTGAGATTCAACAGAAAATAAATCATCAGTATTTTTAAAATTTAAATAAGCATCACTGAAATAGTAAATAACTACAAGTAGTAATAACCATACCTGTTTCACAGTTTGAACCCGTAAAGCATCCTATACAGAAACATGTGAGACTAGTACAAGAACCAGGCGTGGCCTGACAGATACCATTATTCTGACAAGGATTTGGAGAGCACTGGTTTATTCCTGTTAATAAGAGTGGGTGGAATGTTATTTATTTGAAGAATAGTTTAAGAAGAGGAAAACGAAAACCAAATAACTGAGCAGTCACAGACATTATATAGAAATAATAACATCATTTATTAACGTATTTGTTCCAGTGACAGACATGTTATTGCAGAGATTCATTTGTCTCGAAATTAGCTTAGAACATTTCATGCAAAAAGGCAACTAACATCATGGAACATTTCTAATTACTTGCTATATTTTGGGTGTAAAACTGTAAATTTAACAAAAATCACTCAGGCCCTTAGTCTGAAATGATTGAATTTTTAGAAAAAACTTATATATAGTTTGTAATTATTGCTGATATAGAACACTGCAGTGGAACTGTTTTCTGCACTATACATATACATCACTTCTCAAACTTACTCGTTTGGCAATTATCACCAATGTAACAATTCTGACATGTGCAGGTGTAGGCATCACAGTCACCACTTTGCTGATCTGATGAACAAAAACCATTGTTCTGGCACGGGTTTGGTTGGCATGGATTGATTGCTGTCAGACAGGTAGAAATGACATTTATTATTCTCTTGTTAATCAACAAGATCACTCACAGTCAAAGTCTTAAAATGGTTTTCGTGTGATTGAATAGACAGATGACAAGACTGATGATTTCAAACTTACCAGTTTCACACAGCTGGCCTGTGAAACAGCCTGCGCATATACAGCTGACTGCGGTACAACTTCCCTGGACAATCTGGCATCCGGCACCATTCAAACATTGGTTCAAACCAGGTTGGCATGGATCAAACACTGAAAGTGGGAAAATTGCAAATCAAATTGATTTTACATAGCAAGACAGACCCAAAGATTTCAGACCTAAGTTTTAAACATCAAAACTATATAAGTACAAGAATAATATATACATATATTTTCACACACAATATATCAGTACAATATATGTGGGTGTTCTACAATGGACAGTAGATATGCCAAAATTCCAATTGGCTGCTCTCAATAGCATTAATACTAATTACTGTAAGCTGTTTAATTCTCGCTGCTACAAATTTTTTAATGATTTTATGGCATTAGTGGAGACAATATTTCAGGAAATTCACTGACACTCCATATCATAGGACAGCATAGAAATTTTTACTGCTATTAAGTTTCACAATTTTCAATTGATCCTCAAAATTCACAACTGTTTATGGTATACTATACAAGTCATATTCCTAAAACAAAGCAATGTCTTCGATGAGACTTTACTTACATGTTTTACTGATATTAAATTTCCCGATTTTTAATTGAACCCCAAAATTCACAACTGTTTATGGTATACTTTACAAGTCATATTCCTAAAACAAAGCAATGTCTATGATGAGACTTTACTTACATGTATCACAAGTTGGTCCAGTGAAGCATCCATTACACTGGCATGTAAATGAAGTACAGGATCCCGGAGTAGGTATACAAGTACCACCATTCATACATGGGAAAGAGGCACACTGGTCAACTCCTAAATATCACACAGACACAAAAAAAAACAATTTATTCCTCATACCCCGGTACCTTATATACTCATGTGGGATGTTTCTCGAAAGCGAATCACAAAATTAAATTGTTAGTGATATTTTTCACTGGATTGTAGCAAATGTGTACATAGCATTGTATAGTATATTTAATTTGACATGAAATCATGCAGTTTAATACATACATAATGGTCAACATATTGTGTACTTACTTGTGGCACATGTGTCCCCAGTATAGCATGGCTGACATGAACACGTAAACTGTACACACGAATTCTGTACTGGTATACAGAAACCATTGTTCTGACAGGGATTGGGAGTGCATGGACTGATGACTATGGACAAAAGAAACAGTTTAAAAAATAGTTAAAAGTTCTGGAATTATAACTAAATCTAGATGATGAACGCGCATTCAGGCAGCCCGACAAGAAATAATTTTTATTGGATATGTGTGAATTCATTCAAAATTCCTTGATCAGACTTGATTTTTGTCCGTTGTCTAGGCGACATTATTGATCGGGCATCCTGAATGTGTGTTTCAAGTTTGGTCTTTAGTACTACTGTAAAATCTGTATTACAAACTGGCTTTTATTAAAATGGTATATTGCAACAGAGTGGATGTGGCTTCTATTAGAACATCTACACATATGAGAAATGATGAATTTTTGGTTCTCAATTGTTCAAAAAGAATGGGTGCGACTTCTATTAGGGATGTGGCTTCTAATACAGATTTATGGTAATATTGCACGAATGGCGAGTACTGCACGGTAACAAAGTTTAAAATTATAAAATCAATGTATTTGTGTGAAACTTACATTGCTCGCAAAATGTTCCTGTGTAGCAACCGGTACATGTACATTCAAACTCGGTACATGACCCCTGAAGAGAACTACAAACACCTGAGTTCAGACATCGGTTTGGCTGGCAAGGATCAAGCACTAGGGAAAAAAAACAACAACTAAAACTGATAAATATCATGGATCAGACAAACAAATAAAACAAATGAAACAATATTAAATTGTGTGAACTTACATGACTGACAACTAAAGCCAGTGTAGCATCCGGGGCATATACAGCTGTATATAGTACAGTCGCCTGCTTGGGCTACACATGTTCCACCATTGCTGCAGGGATTTGGTGAACACTGATCAATAGCTGGAAAAAAAAAAAAAATAGTTACCAAGTAAATCAACATAGTTCTGATTCCAAACAATGAATTGTTTGATTCTACAGTGAATTTGCAGTGAAAACAGAATCAGTATTGTTGAATATGGTCAATGTGATAAAAACAAAATAATTGGGTATACTCGATATGGAGGATGATTTAAAAAGTGGGAAAATTGTAACTGAATATGCATGAAATAGTTAGGTTGGAGTTAAAGAAAAAACGGAATTCCTACCCGTCAGGCAAGTTGATCCTGTGAAACACTGAAGACAAATGCAAGTAAAGTCTACACAAGAGTTCTGAGTCGGTCGACAGTAACCACCATTGTGACATGGGTTGTTTGCACACTGGTCAATTCCTTGAAGAAAAAAAAATTACTTATAGTTAAAATTTATGAATGTAAATCCAGGAAAAAAATACATTAATTTAATATACTCTAATAATAAAATATATTGTTTTAAAGAGAAGTTTACTGTTGACTAAAATACAATCTGTGAATTTCTAATATTATTATTTTGCTTTAATGAGCAATTTTCCAATAAAAAAGTCCAATCAAGGATGTATAAGATAAGTAAAATGCACGTTGTATGGTGATAAGTCAAGAAAATCAGACATGAGTTGTAAGTGCATAATTTCCAGTTGTGATGAAGAAGTTTGAGAACACAAATGAGTAAGGTTATCACGTTATTTAAGAAGGCAATCCTCAGGGGCGGAGCTACGTCACAAGACGTTCCACGTTGCTAAGACGCGCACCACTGTACCACGTATTTCTATGGGCTCTGCGCGCACTGCTGAAGAACGCGGACGCTGAACGAAGAGCCGGTGAAAATTTGAGAAAACAACAGGAGCTCAACTTTGAAATAATCCTGAACAATCAAATTTATACGAGTTACACACGCAGGGCTAATCTTGTTACACTGTTCAGGGGAGTCTCAACAACCATCCCAAAGTACCGGCCTATGGTTGCCATGCAGTGAAAATGCCCGGATGCCCCCCCCCCCCCCACTTGAACCCTGAGTTCTTTTACAGACTCATCCAGTGTTGAGGTATATTGAGAAAAAAATACAAACAACAGAAAAAAAGCTCACATACAAGTACATTGAACAGTCTTGCATTTCTCAATTTTCATAGGTAGACAAGAAATGTTCTGATTTCGTTCCAGACTAATTTACATCACAATAGAATGTATTTATTGTTATGATAATTAAGAAGTTCCTGATCTATACTGCTGTGGCAAAAAACCTGGTGATTTCTAGAAATTCATGTTTGTTTAAGCTTTTGTGATTTATATGGCGTCAAATGGGATCTTAAGTGGTTATGACACCAGTTAAATACCCTTATGTTATTTGCCCTTGTTGTAACAAATTCTTGAAAACTGAACAAACCCATATAATTGCTAAAGTAAATAGAACTTACTTTGCATGCAGTTAGTACCCGTGTAACAGCTATCACACTGACAAGTAAATTCTGTACATGAACCATCTTTCTGAAGGCAAAGACCATTATTGAAACATGGATTTGGCTGACATGGATTTTGCACTGAAAAATACAAAATAAATAGCATGGAATAATTCTATGTGTTACCGATACTTGTACCAATGGGAAAATAATATGTAAAACGTTTGTCACTATCCAGTAAAGAAATCATACATAAATACTAGTAGGAATACTGCAAACCACCATGGTAGTACGACCATTTTGTAGATTTTCAATATTAAAAAAGGCATAGATCCAATGCATTATAATAACAACTTACACGTTTGACAGAAGTCACCAATATAACAACCAGGACACTGACAATCAAACTCTGTACAACTGGTCTGGACACATGTTCCACCATTCAAACATCGGTTGGCTCCGCATGGATTCAATACTGTGATGAAATAAAAACACATCAATGTCAAATTTCAAATGTACAAAATATATCACACGATAATTTATTATTATAATAAGCCAGTCAAATGGTACACTTACAAATGTTACAATTGGGTCCAGAGTAACAATTATCACATACGCAGGTATATGCGGTACATGATCCTGGTTGTGGTCGACAATCCCCGCCATTCCTACATGGATCACTGGCACAAGGATCAAGCACTATAATAATAATAATAATAATAATAATAAATAATAATAATAATGAGATCTTAACAATTCATTTCAGGCAGGAATGTAATAAAATAAGAATTAAAAAACACTTTGAGATTAAGCCTAAGCGAACCACATTTAGATAAGTAACCAATGTTGTACGACAACAGTTCTATGGGCGACTGATACATGTACTGTATAACAGACAAGTTTCATTTGGTAGTGGAATTTAAAAGATTCCACATGTCATTGTTGTAGTTTGGTACAAATCTTCCTGAGCTAAGCTCTAAAATACTTACAGGTTTCACATTTATCACCAGTGTAACAACCAGTACAGGTGCAAAGGAAAGTTTCACATGATGTCTGTTGGCAGAAGCCATTATTGGCGCACGGATTCGGTTGACAAGGAGCCAATACTGAAAGAAAAAATAAATGTATTCCAATGTTTACCCTTTGTGACTTAAACACTGTCAGATCGATAGTGATTGATGACAGGTATGCATAAACTAAACGGTCTCAGATTAAGTAGATGTATAAATTATTTGAATATATTTGATGCATGTTAACCTTTTTACCACTACCGGTAGTTCCCTCTATTCATCACAAATTCACAAAATGGTCCCATTCATAGTCTGCACTTCCCTTCAGAAGATTGGGAAAAAAATAGCCCAATTTTTTGTGTAAAAACTGAAAATTGACTTGAATTTTGTCTGTCGGCTCCAAAATTAGAGTTCATTTCCACAAAAATTGAAGAATATAAGAAAAAAAGTGCAGACAAATTTTGGTAAGAAATTCTGGTGGTGAAAAGGTTAAACACTACATATTATGAGACTAAGTTAGACTTTATGGCAGCAGAAAATTATGTTTCTGCTGGCATGTCGTAAGAAAAAGCTGCTAATTTGTCAGAATCATTAAAATCAAATTTGATAGTAAGTCAACTTACATGTGGCACATGTAGGCCCAGTATAACATCCACTGCAAGTACAAACATATTCCGTACAAGCATTTGTCTGAGAAGGCTGGCAGTATCCACCATTAAGACATGGGGTGGGTTGGCAAGGGTTGATATCTATAAATTAAATCAACACAAATAAATATATAATTAAAATGAATTCAAGTGATATTACAAAAAAGGAAATCAACATTTTATACATATTTTACTAATGGAAATATTAATATTAAGAGAAAGAACTTACATGATCCACAGTTTTGACCGCTATAACAACCTTGACATTGGCAGGTGTAATCAGTACAGGAACCCACAGTAGCAATGCATATGCCACCATTCAGACAACGATTGGGTACACACTGGTCAATAGCTGAAAATATACACAATATTTTAAACATGAAGTGGACAAAAACAATAGCTGTATTATGCAATACTGCATTTACAGGGTACACCAAAGCAAATAAAAAGGTACCTAATATATAATTGCCTCCTTCAAATTTGATGTTATGCATATTTGGCTTTATCGTCATCTATCATAATCTATCTGTAAACAGCCCTGCCGAGAACATTTTCAAAATCACAATCAACATGATCATTTGGATCCAACATCTAATGTGGGGTGACCATTTGAAACTAAGACCTAATGTGGGGTGACCATTTGGACAGACAGGACCTAATCTGGGGTGACCAACTGGACAGACAGGATCTAATCCGGGGTGACCATTTGGACAGACAGGACTGAAGTGACCAATCCTACTAAATCAATATTGTATACAAGATTGAACATGATAAATTGATATAAATATATACTCACGAGTTTGACAGTTGAATCCAGTGAAGCACCCGACACATGTACATGAATATGAGGTGCAGGATCCTGGATATGGTGCGCAGATTCCAGAATTCTGACACGGATTGGGTGTACAGATATCAATAGCTACAGACAGGAAAATAAAATATATCTTGTATATAGCGGGTATGTAACAGAAAGGTTGTGATTCCTTGTATTTAATATAACCTTACTACAAGTAATTGTTTCAAACCACCTCCAATCAGATAAGTACCCGGTAATAAATCAAATAATTGAATGCAATGACAATTTGTTTTACGAGGAAAACTACAAAATAAGGACAGACAATGTGCAATTTTTATACATTACACTAAGTGATATCAGACGCAGTCTAATTCAAAATGGAAATTGTGTCCAGTTGTTATAAATAATATAGAAAATCTCTCAAAATTTTAATTATAAAATGAGAAATGATAGAAGAAGGGTAAGTCTTACCAATAGCACAATTATCTCCTGTGAAGCAGCGAGCACAGAAACATGTATAGTCTGTACATGAATTCTGTACTTGTTGACAATTTCCGTTATTCAAGCATGGATTAGGCTGGCACTGATTGATTGCTGGAAGAGAAAAAAACATCATTATTCATAAGATTCAGTGAAAATCAAATATTATCAAATACTGTAAAATGATCCTGTATTGAAATTAAATAGCATATTTCACTAAATAAAG